GGGGGGCGGAGCAACAGCACAATGAGCGACACGGCTCTGGTTCTCTGGCCGAACCATCGACACACCGCGAAAGCGTGATGCAGATCGCGTCGTGTCGCCAGGAGCAACGGAGAAAGCTTCATAGTCCATGTACGTCGGCACGCACCAATATAATGAGCAGCGCGTCCAAAACCACACGCGAGAAGCTGATTACCAATACCGAGAGCACATGAGCAAAACAAGCGCGGTACGGAGGGCAGCACCGAGAACAACGGGGTGGCAGCACTCGTAGCGGCGATGGTGGTGCTTCGCGCCTGAGCAGGATGCGTGTACGACGCGCCATACCATCTCTGGGTTGTCGGGGTCAGCGCTTTGTGGGGTCCCTGGACACGTTATTCGAGAGCATTTGTGGAGCACGGGCTATCTATCTCGACCCAGCACCCGGCGCCAAACAAGAAAGGAACTACAACTCTTGTTCACGCGCTACACACCAACCTAAGTAAGAGCAGGGCATATCGTCTGACAGGCTCACCACTCTCGGCGTTATGAAGCTCATGAAGCGTTTAGACATAACCGTAGCCTGCCATACTACTTCTTTTCACCACTGAATCTGAGAAGGAGACACCAACAGCAGCAATGAAGATAAATAAAAACACCACATAACTACAACCACCGCCGGCACCCCAAACAAACACAACTCATGCACCTGATATACCGCGGTGACGTGGTCAGCGTTCCAGGCGTAACCTCCTTTCGGTTCCCGCACGAGCCTCTCCCTCAGCGAGAGGTGCCGCTCGTCTCCAAACCGAGGGTCCGCTCCCATCAAAATATCCCGCCGTTTCTGAGAGGACGACGGCGACGACGACGACGGCAAACGTCGAAGGGGAAAGCAATGCCCCACAAAGGTGAGGGTCGTGTCAGGTCTGGCCAGCGGCACCAATCCGTCCGAGGACGGATGAGCGCGAAACTGCCGCCGAGCACCACGTTCCGTGCCCAATACCAAACACTGCTGTATTCAGTGGAAAAAGGGCAAGTACTGCCACATTCCGCGACAAAGAGCCAGCGCCGCGTTTCGCGACAAAGAACAAGCACGTCTTCCAAACGAATACCAGCAAGCAACCATGTTCCGTGAAAACGAGCAAGCACCATGTTCCGTCCAAAGTTTCGCAAGCACTTGATACGGTATACGTAATTGGCGCGTGTCATGATATTGGAGCTGCGCTACACTGACCGATAGGCCGTGAAAACAGCGGAGTAAAACGACAAGCTCAAGGTCCGCGCCTCCACGACCGGCTCACCGTTACGACGAAATAACACGTTCCTCGACTCTACGGTGGGACGACAAGCGGGGTGAGCATCCACGAAACCTCAAAGGTAAAAACGCTGAAAAAACAAACGCACAAAAAAACGTTGATGAACGTCAAGCCACCTCCCAGGACGATGGACGCCCATTTCCTGCCATAAACTTTCCAGGAATTCGCTCAGTTCTTGGCGCTACCCCCAAGCAGCACCCACAACCTACGAAAGCAGGCCTTACGTATTCTATGCAGCATAGCGATGCATCAACTCTCACGCGGTACAGGTAGGGGAGCTCACCTGCCGGTGTTGCACAGCCTTGAGCCTGGACACGAGGGCGAAGCAGTCTCGCCCGCACCCCTCCCCCGAGCACACGCCGTGGTCTCTCTCGAACACCAGCCTTCGGAGAGAGGTGTTGCTTGTTCGAGTCCCGTGCGCCTGGGCGATGAGTGCCACATCGACGCGATGTCGGGTGTACGTGACCGTGCTGTTGGTGGGGAATGTTGCTGTGCACACGGCGACGCCCATTCGCCATCAACATCACCCCCTCTTACGAACAAAAACTTATCCCTGGTCGTCATCATCGGTTCCCTCGCACAGACTCCCGTAAGGATGATTCCTAGTCAGGTGAGCCGCACAGCTCATGCCGCAGAAGAATACAGCCTGAGCTCCTTGGCGAGGTACCTTTTGCGCCTACCTGCCCGCCTTTTAGACCTATCGGAGTAACTGCGACGGTAGGATGAGAAAGAACCCTAAACCTCTCTGGGCTTGCAGCAGTACACACTGCCCGCCGTCATTTGCTAGCGCAGCACAGCAACGGCTGCCCTTCGACACTGCTCGTCTCTCGCTGCAGGCCGCGAGCAAGCAGCAGAGGCGGTCCCTAAAAAGCCCCACACCGCCTCGCACTTCGCGAGACAGGCGAAGAGCGAAACAGAAGCGGTCCGCAGCCCGAGAAAGAGTTCCCGAATTCCGAGAAGAGTGGTATCTCGCAGCGTAGTAGTAAGGGCCGCATGGTGCCGTGGGAAAACGTCGGTCTTTTCTGTGGCTGAGGAGCACTCCGGCACTACTCCGAGCATAAAATGTATGGCAATTTGCATATTCTATCTAGCGTCGCGCGATGCACTGACAATATACGTGGCAGGCGGCCTAACTTCTGCGCCCGTATACCAGGGATCATTTCCTGCTGTGGTGGGGTTGCGAAACGTCCCGGCATGTGGGTTCACTGCTGGTACGGGACGCATGAGGAGTTCGCGAGAAAGAATGGCCTCCGAGTGGGAGCTACGGATCATATGAACCGAGGGACATTATGCTGTAGCTGCTGCAGCCGCTGTATGCTGTTGCTGCTGCTGCTGCTGCTGCTGCTGCTGCTGCTTGCCGTTGCTGCTGCTGCTGTTGCTGTTGCTGCTGTTGCTGTTGCTGCTGCTGCTGCTGCTGTTGCTGGTCACCCACGTGTCCTTCCGAGGCCATATTTCTGTTTGTTTTCGCAACGGCAGATCAATGTTCCTGTCATCCAGCGCGTCATGCTACACACACTGAATCCTACCTCCATGCAATCCACGCTGCAGTAGCGATCCCTCCTGTGTACAGGCGGGCCTTGCTCGCTCGCAGCCTCCTCGTCACAGTAGAGGCACCTCACCTGACACGGCGCGAGGCATGCACACGCACAACACAGTGCAGCAGTTCGACTTAGTTACTAGCCGCCAACGCAACACACACGCACACGTAAACACGACACAGAACAACAGTACGACCAAGGTTCTACCCGTGTGTGAAGCCTTCGACATTATTCTACTCCATAGGATCATTCGTTCGCTAGCTCCTGGCGGGGACGGCAAACTTGGCCTGTACGGTAAGAAAAGAGCTTTTCTCTGCACAGCTGTGTTCCTTACTCGAAAAGAGGAAGACCAGCCTATCGCTGTGAGAGCGAAGCACTCGCAGCCACGCTCGGATGAAACATTGCATCAGCACAACACTCGAACAAACATCAGTTGTGTTGTGACATCACGTGTCGTGTCGATGAAGCAGAAGGCAGATACAGCATAGCGTTCACCACCACAACGAAAACTCAACCGTAGTGAATCCTAAGCAGTCCTCCAGCACATGCAACACCAGAAATATTGCGCGTGGACACGAAACCAGCAGCACGCGGCAGGAAAATCATTTCGCGTTGTCGCCGAAAAGGTGATGCTAGGTATGTGTTTTCACAAAAATTGGAGTTGGGAAGCAAGGAAGACTGGCGCCTTTTAACTAATCATCTCCTTGGCGCCATAGACAATAAAGACAGAAAACAAGCACCCAGACACCGGTGCCCGACAGCGAAACGGCCAACGTAGACGCGCCTTATTCGAGGCTGTGCCGCCGCTTCTGGCCGCGGAAGAGCCGGCGCTACCACTCCCGCCACCACCGTCGTTGCCACGACCGCTTGCGCCGCCGTTTACTTCGCCGCCGGCGGCGCTTCCACCGCCCTCGCCGTCACCAGCAGGACCACCCGACGTTGACCGGCCCCCAACCGTGCCAGCGTACCGCCGCTTGCTGTAAGGGGGGGGGGGGGGGGGGGGGGGG